CTCCATGTTAGGAGCGGCTGCACATGGTGTCTGTTCCTCATGTCAGAGGAGGCCATTTCTTTTAGAGCTAAGTCGGCCTGCCACTGAGTAGTGTTCTCAGTCTTAATGACAAAGGCAGACGCATTCTAGTACTTCACCCAGCCCACACAACTTGATACCCTAATATGATTGAGTGGAGATAATAAAGAAGAAGATGATGAGTATTATTATTTTCATTAAATAAATTGTCGTGTATCACAGAATAATATGTGATGGTCTACTCGGTTTATCATCATTAGTCACATGACGTCAGCATTTTATTTGTAAATATTTTGTTTAGCTATTTCTCAGTTTTCTTTAAGATTGAGAATACACCTATCCCCCGATTTACACGGTACTTGTTTTACACGTTTTCGCTTTTACACGGTTTTTCCAAATAAGTTTTTTTTGTTTGTTTTTATCGCACTATACTAAATGCTACTGTGATTTAACACATGCGCTGTGTACACATCTCACGAGGAATCCCTAGCTTATGTGCTGACTTGCTGCACACGCACACTGTGTCTGTATTTCTAATTTTAAAATTTTTTAATTTTCGATTTACACGTTTTTTTCTCAGGAACGTATCTACCGTGTAAATCGGGGGATAGGTGTATTTGTAAACATTTTCCTTAATAAAATAACTTTGTTTTACGATTACTGGCCTCACTTATAGTAATGGTATGGACCAACCTAACATTTGACATGAAGTCACAGGACAATGCAACAATATAATTATGATTTATAATACAATATAATACGGCTTATGATTGTAAAACGACATTTGAAAAATTATCCCGCATGTGTTGCTTTTAAACGAAAAATCGAAATTTATTTTTAAGGAGAAATAACGATTATTTCTAACCTTAGAGATGAGGTATGAAAGGATAAATTGTGAAGAGTAATGATAAACGGAAACTAATTCATCCTTTCATACCTCATCTCGATGGTTAGAAATAATCGTTATTTCTTCTTAAAAATAAATTTAGATTTTTCGTTAAAAGAAACATATGCGGGATAATTTTCAAATGTCATATAATTCTGATGTTTGTCTTTACCAACTTTCTAAGTGACAATATGTTTCACCAATCATCAAGTAATGATACGATTCGTGTCAACTTTGTTCTATCGTGGCACAGCCGGTGTTGCCGGCTAGGGGACAAGTGCCCCCCTGAGCCAAGTGGGGCCAAGGGCCACTTGAGCTCTCTTCCATCGTCTATTTATATTGGACCCTAAAAAATCAAATTTAGTACCGGCCATTTGTCACGGGATTGCCACAAGGCCATATTGAAGTCTGGACTCTTCTTTCAGTACAGTAGTCACTTGTCTGTTGGATTCCACTCTCTGTGAAACCTCACGTTAGAAACCACTACCTCCAGGAGAAGCCAACAGAGTATCTCTATGTATGGTCTCTCATGGGAGGTTGTCCTATATACCTCTGCCTATATAGAATAACGATATATAAATGTAAATGAAGGATAAAAGGAACTCACTGGCTTGACAGTCACCGAGATGGTACATAGAGCTTAAGACAGAGATGGCTGGTGTCGTATCGTGGTTGGGATGTAATACGTACAGTGGGCCACAACGTTCGATCGCGGATAAAATGATTTACAAATGAAGTGATAGTTTGAAGACAACACTCTCTCTTTGATTATTACGTTAATTTGAACGCGTAAACTATAATATTTGCCTTTGTTTTTAACTATTCTGGTTTAATTCCGGGAAAAATGATTCTTATCTTAATTTGATTTTTTCCACCTCCCTTTAGCGGAAACCTATCCACAAATGACAGTTTTCATTTGCAAAATGACCATTTTTACAATTTAGAAACTCTCCAGTAAGAGGATACCTCTCCCTAAAGGACACTTTGGCTCTGCAACTAGATGTTGTCCTTTACAGAGAGGTTCTACTGTATATTCTTTCCCTTTTAATGGTAAAGATATTCCCTCAGACGGCTAGTGCACGCTGCAGGCTTAACACGTATTTTTGGAGATCCCTTGAATACATTATCTTTAACTTAACGCAGGTTGACTTAATAGAATCGACACGCCATGTGATGTCGGCACCAACATGTATGCTGACACAATCATAGAGATGTGAGATGAACAGTATGTAAATATAATGTAAGGAAATGTGCCACGCAGTCGACAACCACGGAAGGTGCGCCCAGAATCTGCCTACGCAGGAAATTCCCTCCAACTCATTAGGAGTTTGTAGCGAAAAAATTCCTCAAGAAAGTCTTCAATCTCTTCCTTATGATTGTTTTTTATTTAATTGGCGTTTTTTTACGAGCGACTCTCTATTTAGCATGGTGCCCTTAATGAAGGAGGAGGCACATCCTGCCCTGCTCAGGGCTGGTCCAGCTATGGGGACTTGGAACAAAACTCTCTGGTGCTCTCTGGTGTTCAGAGATTTACAATATTTGGCTGAGAATCTTGTTGAAGATATAAATTTAAGAACCTCCATGAGAGGACAGTCGTTCTAGGGGACATCTCTCTATAAAGAACAGTTTACCCTCGCAAAATTACCATTTTTACTATTTAGCATCTCTCCGGTAAAAGGATACCTCTCCCTAAAGGACACTTTGGCTTTGCATTTAGGTTTTGTCCTTTACAGGGAGGTTCTACTGTATATACAAACTCCAGCCAATAAGAGCCATCATTCTTATATATAACCACTCTCTAAAGGACAACACCTAGTTACAAAGACAATTTATCCTTTAGAGAGAGATATCCTCTTATATACCAGACACACCATCTAATCGGTAAATGTGATGATTTTGGTGATGAAGATTGTCCTTTGTATAGAGATGTTCGCTGGTGTAATTGTCCGACCAGGAGGTTCTACTGTATTTTTTAAAGTTCTTAGATATCTAAAATTAAGGAATTACCAACCGAATACTAGAAATTAATTAAAAAGATCCTTGTCAAGTAGTTCTATAAGCCAGGCCGCCGGACCTGCAGTTCTGGATCTTTCCGGTTGTTCTCAAGGACCACGCCATCACCATCTCCTCAGCGGCGAAGCATGCGATCTACGTTTTCTTCGTATATCGTGAAATGCGTGGTGTCGCTGGAGACCTGCTGGCGATTCTCCACCAAACTCTACAGCGCCATTGTATATAGTTGTATATATCTAATTATTATTTTAAAACAATAATGAAGACTGTGTTCCCTTTGCATGTATTGACAAGATGTCAATATAATTATGTTAATTGTCAGTTTACCAGCCACAAAGAAGCTTTATGGGTCAATCATTAATCGAGTCCGTGGAGGACAACCACAGTTTGATTGACAAGTCAATGGGAGAAGATATAAAAGAAAAAACACTATGATAAACTACAGTGCCAGCTTGGCACTTTGATAAAGAGTAAAATAAAATAATAAAAAGTATAGTATAATATAAGATAATAAAAATATATACAAATCACGTTACATCGAGGAAGCTCTCCCAACGATGAAGAGTCCTCCATCATTAAGGATGTCCCTAATTTCCATAGACAAAAAGAATCTCTGTAGGTTCTTTAGTTGTCTGATGATGTTGAGGCGATGTCAAATTTGTGAAGGCCAAAGAGAGCAATAATTGTGTAATTAAATAAACCACCTGGACTGTTTCCCAGACATCTGCGTTATCCGATTTCCCTTCTAGAGGCTAAGATGTCATTGACCTCCATATGTATGTCATTACAATGAGAGGAATCGCCAGATATTATTGCTAGGAAGGGATAAAAGTTAACAGCGAGATGAGATTCGTTGTTAAAAAGGTAGAAGCTTGGCGAGCTTTGGGACAATGACGCCCTTCAACAAGCTGTAATGCAAGCTTGTTGTTGGAAAAAGAAAAAAACGAAGGGAAAATAGTGACTTCTATATCTAAATACAGTAATTACAGTAGCGATAGGCTGGTGGTAAACTGGAGGAAGCCAGCGACAAGATCTGTTGAATTAACATAATGAATTTTATTACAACATGAAAAGATGATTTAGAAACTATTTCTAATCAGAAAAATTATCTTCAACTATCTAGCTGATTACTAACCTATTTTTCGTAGAGAAGATCCGTTTCTGTTTTATTTCTGAGCTTGATTCCTTGTCTTTCTTTCTCAGGCACTCCAATCTAATTCTTAAATTCCTTTTCGGAAGCTCTTGAAGAAGTGGGATTAGTTGTCTTCCCTGTGTCTTCTCTCCCGTAAACCCGTCAATCCTTTTATACTGAACAATCCACCGCCATCCTTCCGTGTTTGCGCAATGTCTCATCTCATTGGCTCTTTTCGGCACGTGATCAGTATATGATAACATATAAAAGAAATAGCTTTAACACTTGTATTCTCATATTCAGCCTGTTGAAAGCTGCTGTTGTCGAATGTTCGCCAAGTTTTTTACCTTTTCAATAACGAAACTCGTCTCGCCGTTAGCCTTTATCACTTTTTAGCATGTGTTCTTTACGCATATTTGAAGAAGGAAACATACGTCAAGAATAACTCTTTATGCAATGATCCGCGTGAAATTGGAATACAGCATTTGACGCGATCCCAATTTTTAATAGATTCTCTCTTTGAAAGGCTTTGTATATATCATTCGGATAACCTCTGATATATTTGCGTATCAATAGTACATCTCAATTAATAAAAGTAAACAGTCCGTTTACACTCATGGACAAAACTTAAAGAAGAGGAAAATCTTTGATATCTTTTTTTAGGAGACAAAGGATAATTATTTTCACACTTAGTTATCTCGTGTTGTCTTCAATAAAGGTCGCTATTTATAAAATAACTTTCAGAGTTATTGTCTGAATCAAGATATATATGCTAAAAGGTATAACTTCCTTAAGTTTTGTCCATAAGTGTAATTCTAGTCTCTGCAATTGAAGTTTGGTGAAAGGTGGTTTCAGACACATTTGTGTTTAATATTCATCCTATTGTATTCTATTTCATTGAAGGGGAGATGTGGAATAAATGATATTGATTCAATCCGTTGAATTTCACCTATGGCCAAACCACATTGAAAACACACGGTTGTTGTCCGATTACCGAAGTTAAGAAATGTCGGGCCTGGCCAGTACTTGAGAGAGTGACCACCTGGGGGCTCTGTAGGTTATTATTTCACCTTAGTACTTTTCTACATTGCATTGCGGTTTGTCTGCTTGCTATATCCATTTTTGGGCTAGAAAATCATACACTTTGGCTAGTAGCCCGTAAAACCATATTCCCTCTCAATCCGTTGAGATGGTCGAGGGGTTTGGTGTATTTGGGATGGAATGAGTTATTGACACTGAGACAGAGACTAAAGTGACTGGCGATATAGAGATATGGAAATCCCACTATTTCTCCACGTTCTATCTCGCAGGACTTACACAATGCTAGCTAGCATTACGCATATCCTTAGCAGAGTAATGCTTTATCTCCCCCCGTCCATTTAAACAGAGCGACCGAAATGAGGACATGTTGGCTCTCTCACTCACGTTTCCCGTAAGGAGGTTTGAAGATTTTTCTTACGTAACAAAAGTAGACGCCAGCCTGCCTTCAGCCAAACTGGAGCCCTACTGAACACATATCTACCTAGGCTTTCACCTAACCAGGCTGACAATACCGTGACGTGGTAGTTATCAGTTTCGGGAACGATCTGTTGTCTCGGTGATAGGAAATAGATAGCAGGTGCCCTTCGATCTCTATGTGGTGTTGTTTGGCATTCCATGAACATTCAAATGGTAAATTTCAGTTCATCCCTTGTCATCAAAACATGTTCTGTTTTAAACTATTTCCTAAATAGGTCTTCGTTATGTTTTTTATCTTGCCCTTCAAACTAAAGAACTGCGTTTGCGAAGATAAAAAAATAGTTATAAAATTTCTACAATTCCTATCTCAATATATACACTTAACATCAAGAGGATACCTTTATATTCAAACTATATCAGCCTTCTACTTAATGGAATATTATAGCAGTCTGGGGTGGATTAAATTGATGAACAATCTTCAAAAGGTCTACGAGATTTTTTTGTAATACATCGCCTAAATTAAGAAAAAATATAGAAACTTATTAGGTGGTTATATTATAAACAAAGTAGGCATATCCGAATGCTCATATGATGTTTTTAGATGGTAGGGCACCATCTAGTGAAATATGTGGAATAGCCTAAACCAACGTTTAGTTGACTTTTATTTCACTAGATCGTTCAGAGTTATTGTCTGCATCCCGATATACATGCTAAAAGGTACAACTTCCTTAAGTATTGTCTATTAGTGTATATAACAAGCCCAATTGGAACTATATGGGTCCACCGACAGACCTAGCTATCCCAGTAACCTACAACCACCGACAGACCTAGCTATCTCAGTAACCAACAACCACCGAAAGACCTAGCTATCCCAGTAACCAATAACCACCGACAGACCTAGCTATCCCAGTAACCAACAATCACCGACAGACCTAGCTATCCCAGTAACCAACAATCACCGACAAACCTAGCTATCCCAGTAACCAACAACCTCCGACAAACCTAGCTATCCCAGTAACCAACAACCACCGACAGACCTAGCTATCCCAGTAACCAACAATCACCGACAAACCTAGCTATCCCAGTAACCAACAACCTCCGACAAACCTAGCTATCCCAGTAACCAACAACCACCGACAGACCTAGCTATCCCAGTAACCTACAACCACCGACAGACCTAGCTATCCCAGTAACCAATAACCACCGACAGACCTAGCTATCCCAGTAACCTACAACCACCGACAGACCTAGCTATCCCAGTAACCTACAACCACCGACAGACCTAGCTATCCCAGTAACCAATAACCACCGACAGACCTAGCTATCCCAGTAACCAATAACCACAGACAAACCTAGCTATCCCAAAAACCAACAACCTCCGACAGACCTAGCTATCCCAGTAACCAATAACCACCGACAGACCTAGCTATCCCAGTAACCAACAACCTCCGACAAACCTAGCTATCCCAAAAACCAACAACCACCGACAGACCTAGCTATCCCAGTAACCAACAACCTCCGACAGACCTAGCTATCCCAAAAACCAACAACCACCGACAGACCTAGCTATCCCAGTAACCAACAACCTCCGACAAACCTAGCTATCCCAAAAACCAACAACCACCGACAGACCTAGCTATCCCAGTAACCAACAACCTCCGACAGACCTAGCTATCCCAAAAACCAACAACCACCGACAGACCTAGCTATCCCAGTAACCAACAACCACAGACAGACCTAGTTATCCCAGTAACCAACAACCACCGACAGACCTAGCTATCCCAGTAACCAACAACCACCGACAGACCTAGTTATCCCAGTAACCAACAACCACCGACAGACCTAGCTATCCCAGTAACCAACAACCACCGACAGACCTAGTTATCCCAGTAACCAACAACCACCGACAGACCTAGCTATCCCAGTAACCAACAACCACCGACAGACCTAGTTATCCCAGTAACCAACAACCACCGACAGACCTAGCTATCCCAAAACCAACAACCTCTGACAGACCTAGCTATCCCAGTAACCAACAACCACCGACAGACCTAGCTATCCCAGTAACCAACAACCACCGACAGACCTAGCTATCCCAGTAACCAACAACCACCGACAGACCTAGCTATCCCAGTAACCAACAACCACCGACAGACCTAGCTATCCCAGTAACCAACAACCACCGACAGACCTAGCTATCCCAGTAACCAACAACCACCGACAGACCTAGTTATCCCAGTAACCAACAACCACCGACAGACCTAGCTATCCCAGTAACCAACAACCACCGACAGACCTAGCTATCCCAGTAACCAACAACCACAGACAGACCTAGCTATCCCAGTAACCAACAACCACCGACAGACCTAGCTATCCCAGTAACCAACAACCTCCGACAGACCTAGTTATCCCAGTAACCAACAACCACCGACAGACCTAGTTATCCCAGTAACCAACAACCACCGACAGACCTAGCTATCCCAGTAACCAACAACCACCGACAGACCTAGCTATCCCAGTAACCAACAACCACCGACAGACCTAGCTATCCCAGTAACCAACAACCTCCGACAGACCTAGTTATCCCAGTAACCAACAACCACCGACAGACCTAGCTATCCCAGTAACCTACAACCACCGACAGACCTAGCTATCCCAGTAACCAACAACCACCGACAGACCTAGCTATCCCAGTAACCAACAACCTCCGACAGACCTAGTTATCCCAGTAACCAACAACCACCGACAGACCTAGCTATCCCAGTAACCAACAACCTCCGACAGACCTAGTTATCCCAGTAACCAACAACCACCGACAGACCTAGTTATCCCAGTAACCAACAACCACCGACAGACCTAGCTATCCCAGTAACCAACAATCACCGACAGACCTAGCTATCCCAAAACCAACAACCACCGACAGACCTAGCTGCCCCAGTAACCAACAACCACCGACAAACCTAGCTATCCCAGTAACCAACAACCACCGACAAACCTAGCTATCCTAGCGACAAACCTAGCTATCCCAGTAAACAACAACCACCGACAGACCTAGCTGCCCCAGTAACCAACAACCACCGACAAACCTAGCTATCCCAGTAAACAACAACCACCGACAAACCTAGCTATCCCAGCGACAAACCTAGCTATCCCAGCGACAAACCTAACTATCCCAGTAAACAACAACCACCGACAGACCTAGCTGCCCCAGTAACCAACAACCACCGACAAACCTAGCTATCCCAGCGACAAACCTAGCTATCTCAGTAACCAACAACAACCGACAAACCTATCTATCCCAGTAAACAACAACCACCGACAGACCTAGCTGCCCCAGTAACCAACAACCACCGACAAACCTAGCTATCCCAGTAAACAACAACCACCGACAGACCTAGCTGCCCCAGTAACCAACAACCACCGACAAACCTAGCTATCCCAGTAAACAACAACCACCGACAGACCTAGCTGCCCCAGTAACCAACAACCACCGACAAACCTAGCTATCCCAGCGACAAACCTAGCTATCCCAGTAACCAACAACAACCGACAAACCTAGCTATCCCGGTAAACAACAACCACCGACAGACCTAGCTGCCCCAGTAACCAACAACCACCGACAAACCTAGCTATCCCAGTAAACAACAACCACCGACAGACCTAGCTGCCCCAGTAACCAACAACCACCGACAAACCTAGCTATCCCAGCGACAAACCTAGCTATCCCAGTAAACAACAACCACCGACAGACCTAGCTATCCCAGTAACCAACAACCACCGACAAACCTAGCTATCCCAGCGACAAACCTAGCTATCCCAGCGACAAACCTAGCTATCCCAGTAAACAACAACCACCGACAGACCTAGCTATCCCAGTAAACAACAACCACCGACAGACCTAGCTATCCCAGTAACCAACAACCACCGACAAACCTAGCTATCCCAGCGACAAACCTAGCTATCCCAGTAAACAACAACCACCGACAGACCTAGCTGCCCCAGTAACCAACAACCACAGACAAACCTAGCTATCCCAGTAACCAACAACAACCGACAGACCTAGCTATCCCAGTAATCAACAACCACCGACAGACCTAGCTGCCCCAGTAACCAACAACCACAGACAAACCTAGCTATCCCAGTAACCAACAACCACCGACAGACCTAGCTATCCCAGTAACCAACAACCACCGACAGACCTAGCTATCCCAGTAACCAACAACCACCGACAGACCTAGCTATCCCAGTAACCAACAACCACCGACAGACCTAGCTATCCCAGTAACCAACAACCACCGACAGACCTAGCTATCCCAGTAACCAACAACCACAGACAAACCTAGCTATCCCAGTAACCAACAACCACCGACAGACCTAGCTATCCCAGTAACCAACAACCACCGACAGACCTAGCTGCCCCAGTAACCAACAACCACAGACAAACCTAGCTATCCCAGTAACCAACAACCACCGACAGACCTAGCTATCCCAGTAATCAACAACCACCGACAGACCTAGCTGCCCCAGTAACCAACAACCACAGACAAACCTAGCTATCCCAGTAACCAACAACCACCGACAGACCTAGCTATCCCAGTAACC